GAGGTACACACCTGCTGATTTCATCCATTCTTTTCATGGCCAAAAACAGCCAGTTGTACTTCATGTTGTAGTTTACTTGTCTGGGTCTGGGTTGTAGGAGTAGCCTGTAGCTACTGTGACGTTTTAGTTGTTGCCTGTGAAGGTGAAGGAAGACAAACCTTTCAAAGGGCAGATGCAGTTAGAGATTTCTTTTCAAATTTCTGGTTGCCATCCTTACTGTTTTACATTTTGTGTTTCTTACGTAGCTCTCAAAATGAACTAATGGCAGTGCATTGAAATACAAAGTATATACTCCTGGATAGAAATAAATTAATAGCAATCTGTAGATTCACAGCTTCTGTCATTTTGACTGGTTGTCATGTAGATGAAAATGAGCTGGCTGAGCTGCTGACTGGGTAAGGCTTGATAGGTTTGGAGGATAGCGGTAAAAGAAAATTACTGTATAGTCTGGTAAAGAACATGCACCCTAGAGACACCATGTGTAGATTTTTTTAATCTAATAATTATTTTGGCTTAGTGACTCTTCTACATCCATAAAAACACTAAAGCACAAGAACTCACTACTTTTTAGAAAGGATTATGTCCCCTTTTCCAGTCAGTCATAGATTACTTTTCTGGTACTGATACCTTTGTAAAGGGCTATGGCCATGTGCTAAATGCAGGATTAAATCCATGTGCAGCTTGCCTAATGTAACCAGTGCTGAGCATGATCTATTTAGTAGTGACTTGGCTGCTGTGTTCCAGATGAGGTTTTCAGTCAGCTTCTAGTTGCACTTCAGTGTCATGGTTTTGCGTTTTCTCAGGGGGAGAAAGGTTTGCAACTCTTTGTGATCTCCTGCTGAGTGATTAAGTTAATGAGGTGTGGCAGCAATTAAACAAAGTGATCAGAATGTAACCAGATACCTCTGTGGACATTGTGTTCCAAGCAGTACTGTGAAGGACACTGAACTCCATAGTGTTCCCAGGCTTTGTCCTACAAAGTCACAAATACTTAAATTCTAGTAGTGTTGTTATGGGAGTGAATTGTTGTTCTTTTCTATTACTTTTTTTTTTTTTCTAGATAAGTCTTGAAATGGTTTTATGGTGCACTTTTTCCTGGTTAAGAAAATGTGCACTTGAATTATTATTTATTTGTGGTATTGTGCACTTAATTTAAGGCAGCTATTATTAGTTATACAGTAAGCATAATATCTCTATTAATTGATGTGATAGTCACAGTTCCAGGTTCAGAGTGATTGCAGTTTTTCAAGCCAGTTCCTTGATGTGGATAATTAATTCTGAAGTTGGGATGCATGTTAAATTATCTGTAAATTCAAGAGAGACCATCATTGAAAGTCTTCAAATTTGAATAATAGGGATAAAACAATTGTTTGAACTATGCACTGTTTTCAAATCCTTCTATTTTTTATGGTCTCAGGCAAGTTGTTTCTAGTTTTTCATTCACTTGTTTGTAAAGTAGTTTCTCATATGATGGGAGGTCTCTGAAGTACAATTGCAATGGTTAAGACAGTTTAGCTCCTTTGATATGTTGTAATTATTCCCTAAGTCTTCTGAGCTACATTTTTTTTTTTTTAGTGAACTTGGTATTTTGTTCTTTCCAAAGCATTTGAAAAATGGAAACTGAAAGTGTTACCCAGAAGAAGTAGAAATCACATTTTTGTTTTCTTTATTGAGTACAGCTGGACATCAACCACTGGGTACAGTTTTTTTGGGCAAGAGAACAGTGTTCCTTTGAACAGTACCAATTAGAATATTGACAGCAACCTCAAGGACTGCAGAATCGGATATTTATTGTGAGGGAGAAAACCTTGATCTTGAAGACCAAGTTTTTATAGTGGAGGAATGTTCTCAATACTTGCTGATATGCATGAGGACCTTTGTTTTTTGCTACCTATGGCAGTTTAAAATACCATTTGGAAGTTTTTAGGAGGGCACTATCTCATACTGGCAGTGTCATTTTGGTAAAAAGTTAATCCCTCTTAGAATTGCATGAATTGTCATATTTCTGAAACCAGAAGCAATGCTGATTTTCATCTTTAACCCTTAGTTTTGGATAAGGGAACTTGAAGCTTAGAGAAGCCTTGTAGTGGTGTGATGTGGTGCTTGTTTTATCAGGCAAATTCTGCTTTAGTTTTAAAAGCATTAATAAAAATTGTTAACTCAAAGCTTCCAAAGTATGGTTTCCCTTTGAGTTCCCTTTGAGTTCTGCTTTGCTATGTTTTTTACTCAGATTAGTGAACACACTGCCACCATCAGCCTGGGGTGGCTGTTTGATACAACCTGCTTAATTAACTCTTGATCCATGGCACTTGCTTCCTGCCCTCTGACAAACTCCCTTACAGCTGGAGGTTAAGACCTTCAAGTTAGTTGGCCTGTTCCTGAGGCAGTGTTTCTGCAGACCAGATAAAAATGATTGTGGGCAAAGACCTTGCTTTCTGCTTGGCTATCCCTGGCATGGGTGTCTTGCCTCATACCAGAGCTGTGTGGTTTGTGGTTGTTGTTTGGTTTTGGTGTTAACTTGATCATGCTTGCTTTGCTCCTGTAAAAAATGTGCTGATATAGGATCTGTCAGAAAAGGATTTATAAAAACTTTCCTGCTGTGTAGTTCTGTACAATTTCTTGGAATGTGTTCAGAGTTCACTTAGAGTTTTTCTGAAATGAAATATAAGAACTTTCCCCTGTCTCAAATGTTTTGTGAGAGCATTGGTCTTTAGGGAGTTGAACAGTGTACTCACCTATCACACACACCATTTGATATTATTTATTGAATTCTTACAAGTGGGGAAATAGCTAATAAAGTACCTATGTGTTCTTTTCGTTAAGACACTTCACTGAACAACCAGAATTGTTTGTTTCATCAGATTGCACTGGCTGACTTGCTTTTCAAAAGCATATAGAATATTCTTGTTTCTTTTTCGAATTGTCTTGAATGGAAAACATTATTAGCTAAAATACCACTTGGTGCTTTTTGGACATCTTTTGGAAAGTGCTTTAATTAGCTATTATATTTCCATAATAATGACAGTTAACTTTGGAAAAGAACTATCCCAGTTTCAGAAATATCTGGGTTGCAGCTCAGTAAGACTGCCTCCTTTCCCCACATGCTGTAATACCTTACGTTGTTGGATTGGTTGGGGTTTTTTTTAAACACCTTTCATAATTTCTTATTAGTATCTTGAAGTCCTGCATGGAGAGGCTGTCTGTCGTGTGCTGACAGCCTTGCCGTGGCGGTGGCGTTCAGCAGTGCTGCTGAAGGCAGTGTGTGCCAAGTGTCATGCCTGGTCTCTGCAGTGACCTTCACTCTGTGAAGGTCTGCGTAACTGGATGCAATGCTTTGCTTGTAGAACTAGTTCAAGGTTGGCCATATCAGTGTGGTCCTGTGCCTAGTTCAGTAGATGTGCCAAAAGAAGGATGTGATGCAGTGCTGTAGTGGCTACATTGCTTTGGGATTCCAGCTGATAGTTGTGTGCAGGATTGTTTGTGCTGCATAGTTTAAACATGACCATAGTTTAAATGCCATGATCAATTTTATATTTCCAGAGTTGGTTTTGGTTCTGCAGACAATATAGTTTTGTCTTCACAGTCTCTGTAAGCAACTTGAATTAATGGAATTGACACTTTGGAGTGTATGGAAATTCTCTGCATAGACAGCAGGACCATGTATAAGAGGGGGTGGGCATTTATTATTTACTGTTTAAAATTTAGACTAATTAATAAAATTGGAAACAGTTCCTGAGAGATAAGGTGTGATCTTATGACCTGTGAAGTTACACAATTTAATGTGTAGTTGGAAAGCATCTGGAGTTTTTGATGTTAAAATTTTATTTCAAAAAGTGTAGCTCAGTGTTAATTATGGACATGTATTGAGGGTTTAGCTGCTACTGAAAATTAGTGAGAATAATGCTTGCCTGTGTTACTTATAATATGTGTAGACAGCTATTATTTTAAGTTGTCTTGTCTTGTTCCCACATTTTTCCACTCAGTCACTTCTTACCCCATTCATTTTGGAGGGAGAGGGTCTGGTGGAAGGTGGGAAACAGGCTGAAGCTGGCAGGGCACAGACTTGGAGTTCAAAGCCAGAGAGTCTGAATCAAGTGCAAGTTCAGAATCTTTCTGTGTGGCAAAACAAAATGGTTTGGAACTGGAAGAAGGGCTAACTGAGGTCTACCAGAAATGCCATGGGAATTTGGACAGGGGCTTGTGGGTTGTTGAATTGTGACTGGTGAGTTTGCAAAGGGGCATCAACACTTGGGCATTGGTGCCTACCAACATCTGTCAGTGACAGCTGAATCCTGCAAAACCATGTTGTAGGCTGGTTCTGTTAAATCATGAAAGCTTCAAGATTCTACCTCTTTTTCTTGTTCTTTTGGTGGTCCCTCTAAATCACTTCAAGCTGTGATTATTTAAAAGGATAGTACAATGTTTGAGCTGAACTCTTTCGTATTCTGTCTTTGTACATCAGAGCACAGCGTTTCATGTGCTTTGTAGGGATCTGTCAGTAGCCAGTGCTTATTATATAATTAATTTAAAATAGTAGTATTTCAGAAATAAAAGTGGATTGAGAGTAGCTCATGAAATCAAGAAAAAAGCTTGTCATTCCCAGATATTTCTAGGAGAATTTTCCAGGCATGGGATACAACTGCAGTGCTTTCACAGTAGTAGACAGTATCAGAAAGTGTCCTCTAAAATTCTGTATTTGCAGTTATCTGCAGATATTATGTCTGTTTTCAGAGAGAAATGGATGTAGTTTAACCAGGTTTTCTTATAAAGAAATTTTTGTTTGGGAACTGTAAGGTCTTTGTTAAAAGAAAACTTGCTTTTCATATCAAAGTATAATTTATGCATAAAAGCAGACTGGCTTTTCAGCTTCTTGATCCAGACCAAATTAAAATGTTTATCATTATACTGATACTGAGTGGTGTAATGTAAGTCAGAGCTAAATATATTTTTCTTTCTCTCTCCTTTTTTTTTTTTTTTTTTTTTTTTTTATGTGTGTACAGAAAAGATGAAAAGGAGTATGCACTGAAGCAAATTGAAGGTACAGGGATATCCATGTCGGCCTGTAGAGAGATTGCAGTAAGTGTACATAAATTAAAGTAATTTTACTGACATTATTACTCAACAGGTATTTTATTTTCCTAGAATTAAGTAACATAGAGATTATCCAAATGTTTTCTTTAAAGTATGCAAGCATAGAAGTTTATTCAGATCTGAGCCTTTTAAAGAAGCTTTTATAATCATAATTTTCTTTTAGTCCTTTTCAGGTAATAGCAATGATTCTTTCTGATACAATTTTCTTTCATTTTATGTGTTGAGAGGGAAATAAATATGAACTTCTAAATGAAGACTTACTTTAAAAAGGAATATTTCTAAAATGACTTCTAAGAAAAAGGTTCTGAAACATTACAACTGCCATCTGAAGTCCACTTACTAATAACGTATTTATTTTAGACTAATCGTGACTTCTTGTTCTTTAGTATCCGAGAACAGTTTGTTCTCCTCATTTTTGTTTTGCTAAGTACAGGGAAATTTCATAACAAAATGAAAACCAGCTTTAATTATATTTTTATTACACGTGTCTTTTATTACATACCTATTATTCCTTCAAATTTGGTAAAAATTAAGTGTTTATAAATAAAGGTAGAATTTGATCTTTGTGTGTTTTTTATGTCTGAAAATGTGCATTACTAACAAAATGCTGGATACTGAGTAGAATTTTGTAATGCAAGTATTTCTAGCATTGCAAAAGAAGTACACTTGCTTGATTAAATATTTACCTTGTCTTACTGCTGTCACTATGCAGTCAGCTGTTGAATGTATTTTAGGATTGTGCCTAAAGCTTTTTATAATCTGGTAGTGTTGCATTGAAATACAGCATTCAGATGTACAATGCAATGTGAGGCATTAGAAACTCATGGTGTCCATGAACGGAACAAACCACTGGGTTGTGTTTTGTGTCCATGGTGATTCTGTATGAAGAGACTTAACAGATATAACTGCTGTCCTTTTAAAGTGCTTATCACTATAAGGTCAAGGTCACTCATAGATTTGAGAGGTGGCCATATTGCTGTCAGTCACTTTACACCGGGTTTACCCAGTGACTTTTTTGGGTAATATTTCTGCCTTTGGAGGAAATAGGAAATCCTCTTTTAACATCAGTACTAGGTTATATTCTTAGTATTACAAAGTCATTTTTGACAATATTGAGGGGTTTTTGTTTCTTGGATTTTTGTCCTTAGTTTTAAATTCTACTGCTGTGGAGATGTGTGGATTAGTCTGAAGGAGACTTTCCTGTGAGCATGGTAGCACTGTAATATGGAGCTGGTTCTGTCTACCTGGACAAAACAATGTTAAGGAAGGAGAAAGTGTCAAATTATGTTTTAAATCCCATGATACATTTTTTTTTTTTTTAATTAGTGAAGCTTTATGCAAAGGTTAGTACAGCCTGTGAATTTTGGCATCTACTGTGTAAGTTACTTGACTGCTTTCAGTGGTTTTTCTGGTAATTCTTCCATAAGTTAGATTTCATTCTTCCTCTTCAAACCTTATTGTAAAACTCTGTAACTTGAGCTAATACAGCACATCAGCATTTGCCTCAGTGAAATTTCAGGTCAAATATTAGAATTGTGACAAAGGTAAAGGTGAAATAGTTGAAAAAAATTACCAAATTTTTGTCATACGGCCAAAATCAAGTGCATTTTCCATAAAAAGAAACAGACGTCTAAATAATGCATCAGTAGCTTATCTTGTATTTAAAGACTTAGTTAGGTGACAAGGAGGGCAATGTTTACTGATTAAATAAAGATTATCAGCCTGGACAGAGGCCGTTTAAAAAATGTCATGAGTACTTCTTTTGGCACTTCTTTCCCCTTTGCTCCAGCAGCAAAACAAACCCAAATCCCACTTTGGAAGATGAAAAAATGACAGGGACACCAGTGTACCTGTTTCTCTGTGTGTATGTTCAGAATATCTTAATAGTTCTGTAAACTTTAGGCACTTGACATTGTACTCAACAAATATATTGCTAACTGAAAGGCATTCAGTTTTACAGTCCAAGACAATTTTGTGTGTCTTATTGCATAGATACCTATAATAGGATCTGCTCGCTAGCTTTCCCTAAAGGAAAAGACAGATGACTCTTCTCTTCTGACATGACAAATCAAGTTGGTCTGTCTTTGCTTAGGACTTCAAAACCCATAAAGTTTCTCTTACCGCTGTTCATTTGTAGGAGCTTTTTCTGGAAGAAAGTTTATATCAGTAAAAACATCATATAGGCAGTGGTTCCTGTGGCAAGGGATTGTTGCTTTGTTTCAGCTGTAGGCTGATCCCTGCTTAAGGAATCATTATTTCAGCAGTTCTATTGTAGCGAGTATGAAAGTATCAGAAAGGATTCTTTATACCTCAAAGAATTCTGTGAGTGTGTGAAAACCGAATTAGTTCCCTGTAACTCAAGTGTGTTCTGAAGATAACTGAAATGCTAACTATTTTCAGTGTTCTTGTTATGAGGCAGATTTTTCGAAGAGCAAAGCTGTAAAATGTAAATGGGAGTAATGACATAGTGTTTCTATGTTTAGATTATTTAGTTAATGAATGTGACATTTCTTTCAGCTCCAGGCTTGCATTAGCTTATTTTGAAACCTGAAGTGGGTTGAAAGGAAGACTTTAATTCTGCTGCTTTTGTGTTTTATATATTTCCCTTACCTTATCTAAGTAGGTTCTTTAGAACAAGAAGTGGAGATACAAGAAACAGACCAGAGGAGTATTATTCATTAAGGCTGTTTTTCCTGTTGAATACCTTGGCTGTCATCTGTTAAGAACCAAAAGCTATGATTTTAAATATCTGCAAGCATGTAGTGGTAATAGAATTTGGTATTTCTGTATCAAAAAACATGAGGGTAATACAGCTTTATCTGAGATTTCTTGTCCCAAAGGCTTCACTTCCTGTGAGAGTACATGCAAGTTAATTCAAGGACTTTGTTTTTCACAGTAAAGAGACTGTAAACTTTTAATTGTGGATTTTGGGAAAACTTAATTCAGAAAAAAAGAAAAGTAATAAGCCTTTTCTTAGTCAGTGCCATTCACCAATAATGCAAATTGTAAATACATGGATATATATCCTGTCCCTGAGCATGGAAGAACTTCAGTGCAATTGTTATTGGCTTACTTAGCTGATATGATGAGATTGAAGATGGATTCACTAAGTGAATGGAGCATGGCAAAAAGCAGGATCATGACCCTGGACTTCAGGAGAGCAGACTTGAACCTCTTCAGCTATCTGCTTGGAAGTGTTCTGTGACATACAGCCCTGGAGCCCTGGAGAGAAGAGGGATTCAGGAAAACTTGTTGGTATTCAAGGATCAGTCTGTCCAAACTTTAAAGTTTCCACCTCAGCAAGGGGGAAGGCAAGTAAGGGCAACAGGATGCCTGCATAGTTGAGAAAGAGGCTCCTTGTTGATATGGAATGGATATGAAATGGAATTATATATGAATTGGATATAGGCAGAACAAGAGAAATACAGAGTTGCTGTTTGACCTTGCAAGAACAGGAGTTAGAAAAGCCAAGGCTGACATGGAGTTGGGTCTTGCAAGGGACCAGAAAGATAACAAGAAAAGATTCTACATGTACATGAGTATCAAAAAGAAGACTAAAGAAAATCTGAGCCTGCAGCTGTATGGGAATAAGTGGTATGGGAAAGGCCAAGGTAGTCAATATTTTCTTTGTCTCAGTAAGTCCAGCCTTCAGGAGTCTCATGTCTTGAGACCAGAGAACAAACTGAGGAAGGAAGCCTTACCTTGGTGGAGGAGGTCCAGGTTAGGCAGCACTTGAACTGGACATACACAAGTCTGTGGTACCTGATGAACTGTACCCACAAGTGCTGGGAGTGGCTTGGATTTCCTTATGAGACTACTCTCGGTTATCTTAGAATAATAGTGAATGGAAGAGAGCAAGTGTCGCTCCTGTTTCCAAGCTGGATCAGGGGAACTGCAAGTTGGTCAGCTCCTTAACCAACGTGCTTTTCTTGTATTATAAGATGTCTGGCTTGGTGAATGATGTAGATTCTGTTAATCTTGACTTTAGTAAGGTTTTTTAATAGTATCTTCCATAATATTCTTACAGAGCAGCTAACACAGTTCACAGACAAAAATGACTCTACTAAAGGTTTCACATGAACCAGAGACTGAGTCAAGACTTAGATGTTCTTTGTTCAGCTTCTCATCCTTTATAGCTTTTTTTTGCACCCTTGCCAATAAGAACTTCCATTTTTCCAAGGATAAAGATCCAACTCTAGCCTTCTTCTTTGTAAACAGTGACCTTAATTCTAAATATAATTCAATTTTTCTATAACAGGGTGGTTTTATAGCTCGTTCTTTTTTTTTCCTGTAGGGGAAAAAAAGAGACTGGGCTGTTGCAGATGATTTAAATGGGGGAAGCAGAGCCACAGACCACCATTGCTAGCCTAGTGTTTTTTAAGGAGTTCCCTAAATTGGTGCTGTTTTGCCCCATGTGAATGCTGGGTTTGGATCCTGTAACCATTTCAGTTGCCACATCCTGTGCCTGTGTGTGCTGGTTATTAGGGAAGGCTGCTTCTTCTGGGAGGCCTTGAAATGATGCCAGTATGCTGTGGCACACTAGTGGGAGCATTGGTTGGCCTTTGTTGTTCAAACTTGCATTTATGGGTACAGGCTAAAGTAAATTCAGACTATAATGTTAAATGAGTTACTGAAAGCTCAGTTGAACAATTTAGCATGCACAAATCATTCTCAGGCCTTTTGCCTACTCATGCAGTGTATATTCCAAAGTACTACAGCATATGAATGTTTTGGTTTCTGAGGGTGGGCAAAGTTTTAGAAGCCTTACAGGTTAAATAATATGTCTTTGTAACCTTCTTGTGTTTGTCAGCTCTCTTGAAAGTGTCACTTTCTCACTGTATTTACATTCTATTCTGCCTCTGTTACTTTCCATGTGGGCAGTTCTTCTGGAGTTGTGTCACCCTGTTCTTGGGTTTGGCTATGCTGTGATGTTGTGGTGCTGAAGCTGAGCCAAGGAAGTCAGCCAGACTTACCATCTCCATCTT